CACCGTCCTTTTCACAAAAAGCAGGTGTGTCCAGTTCCATCTTGAGAGGTGGTTCTCCTACCTCTCCACAAGCCTTTTGCTTGCTAACCGGGGCTGCGCACGAGCGTTTAAACAACCAAAGCAAGTGCTTACCACACATTCTTCATCGCCTTCTGCACTGTGGTTCTTGGTATGCCCGTCAGTCTGCTTGCCGAACGCAAGCCCAGCCTAAAACCTGTCTGCAGCTCTGCACAGAAGCCATTTTCTCACCATTTTTGGCGCAACCGCTGGGAAGCACGCAACGTGGCAAGAGGTTTCCAGCCTCAAGAAAGTGGATTCTACATAAGAACGGCCGTACTGGGTCAGACCAAAGGTCCATCTAGCCCAGTACCCTGTCTGCTGACAGTGGCCAGCACTAGGTTCCCCAGAGAGGGTGGACCGAAGACAACGATCAAGTGATTTGTCTCCTGCCATCCCTCTCCAGTCTCTGACAAACAGAGGCCAGGGACACCATTTCTATCCCCTGGCTAATAGATCTAGCTTCTCTTTAAACTCTGTTATAGTCCTAGCCTTCACAACCTCCTCTGGCAAGAAGTTCCACAGGTTTACTACACGCTGTGTGAAGAAGAACTTTCTTTTATTAGTTTTAAACCTGCTCCCCATTAATTTCATTTGGTGTCCTCTAGTTCTTCTATTATGGGAACTAATAAATAACTTTTCTTTATCAGCCCTCTCCACACCACTCATGATTTTATAGACCTCTATCATATCCCCCCCCCGTCTCCTCTTTTCTAAACTGAAAAGTCCCAGTCGCTTTAACATCTCCTCATATGGGACCCGTTCCAAACCCCTAATCATTTGTGTTGCCCTTTTCTGAACCCTTTGCAAGGCCAAAATATCTTATTTGAGGTGAGGAGACCACATCTGTACACAGTATTCAAGATGTGGGTGCACCATAGTTTTATACAGGGGCAGTAAGTATTCTGGGTCTTATTTTCTATCCCTTTCTGCTGGGATTTAAGGAGTCAGGGACTTGAAGTAGCAATAACAATGTAGTTACCAAGCAATTTCTCGCCTTCCCTGAAATCTCTTTAGATACAAGCCTCCCCAAAGGTTTGTTTCTGCCTTTGAGAAATAAAACTGCACCAGTGCAAAGAGTATTTTGGATGGGGGTTGTGGAGGAGGGTAGGAGGAAATACATAGGCTAATAAGCAGCCAGCAGTGTTAGCATTTCAGAGAGAACTGTGGGGTAGAGATTGCTCGGTGTTACTCCAGCTTTAATAGCCATGATAAGGTTTGCTTTTGTTCTCTGGGCTCTTAATCAGTCTATCTGCACTCTTCATCCCACAACTTTCATGTGCTTGCTCCCAGCTGCAGCAAATCTTGTTCAAACGTGCGCACCGATTTTGTTCCCCAGAGCGGCAATCTATATGGATGGCGTGTAAGTCTGGAAAAATCAAAGCCTTCCCAGGCCTGTGTATTTTATAATTCATTGCATAGCTAAGCTGCAGAATATTTTCCCCTCTAACAAGCTTGAAGATGGCACCCGTATCGAAAGGAATAATATGCAAGATGACACTTGCGGGTGGGGGGTTATAAAACCCCTCCAACTTTCTTAGAGCCTTATGTATTTTTTTTTGACGATTGAATGGCTTTTCTGGTCTTTATTGCTCTTGCAGTCTGGTGTTTATTTTGTACCAGAGCTCTCTGCAAATAAAATTTTAAAAAGCTACTGCTTTCCCCGCTACCGCACAGCATTACAAATGGCCAAAACGCCTGGTGGGATTTTTAAATACAGAGGTTAACCAACAGAGCAAAACGAAGCCTTCCCTTAATTGAATCCCTGGTTAATTTGATTTTCCTGTTAATTCAACCAAATTCCAGACATCGAACGAGGCATGCTAAAAATAGCCCAACTTCCTTCTTTTCCATTTTAATCACTTTCAGCAAGTGGTGCTGGGAGATTCAGTACCACGCACAGAAGGGTCCCACTATGGACGCTTGAAATTTCAGACAAGAGAAGAGCTGAGAGAAACCTACGCCTCTACAGACCCATTCCTCAGGTGCTCATTTTAACATCCCACCCCCAGCATGAGTGCTTTTAGACCGTGTTTCTCAATGTGAGCTGCGGCTCCTCTCTGAGAAACCTGCTACCTGGCCGCTCCGGTTTGTTTATTTACCGGCTCCGTGGCCATTGATCCTTGCAGCTCTCCTTGGCTGCAAATGGTGAACCGGAGCCACGAGGCTCTGTGGCCACGAAGCCAGTAAAGAAAGAAACCGTAGCTGCCAGGTAGCAGGTTTCTCAGAGTGGATCCGCAGCTCACTTTGTACCACGTCCATTGAATGCAAAAGGTGGGTTGCACAGGTCTCAAGGTGGGGCTTTGAAACCCGTGGAGCAGTGCCTGTGTAGCCGAGTACGTAACTAGGCAAGCAGTAATTCGTTACTGGTGACGGGCAAGAAGGAAACTGCTCCTGCGGACCTTCGCATCCCAGGCTGAGTTTGGAAGGCTGGTGGTGCTTATAAACAAAGCCAATTCGGTCTGGAAGTTGGCGAAGGACAATGAATATGTAGCTCAAGATGATGCCATTTAAATGGCCAGTTTTCAGAACGGCCTGTTCTGTCTCGGGGTATTTAGACTAATATTACTGGCAACTAGCTGGGGATGTCTGATACGGCGGAGGAGTGGGACCTGCTCAGAGAATGGCGCGAAACCCAGTTTTACAGTGTTGTCCAGTACGGAGTCTTCTAGGTCTCCGGGCAGCTTCGTTCTACAGGCGCAGTGCTTGAGACGTGGCTAGAGTCTTAGTTGGCAGCTCCCTCACAGAGTCCTGAGCAGGGTGCGTCCCTGGAACGGTCACCACCTCCCCCGACCCCTGCGCTTCCTGTGGAGAGGGGAACCCTGGAGCACTTTTACAGCCAGTGTGCCAGGTTGCAGCCTCATTTCCGTCTCCTCCAGAACCTTTTCCTACAGTTCTGTCTGCACTTGTCCCTGCATCTCCTTACACCCGCCCCACCCTGGACCCCACTAAGTCGAGAGCTCTCCGTGTCGGCCTCCTCCTGGTGCTGGCCAAGATGGCCGTCTGCCTCCCCAGGAGGAGGAAGCTGGAAGGGGGTCGTGGAGGGTGCTCTGCATATGACTGTGGGGCCTGTTTCCAAACCCTCTTGAAATCGCATCTCCAGGCAGCGTTTCTCTGGGCCAAGTCCGCTAGCCCCTTGTGCACGAGGAGCAGTGGGCGCTGGTTGGGATATTCTGATGGGGGGCCCCCTCTGGATCCTGGATTTTGGACCTTTTGACCCTCGCTCCTCCCCCGTTTGTTTCATTAGTGGTCCCCTGCAATCATTTAACACCTGGGTCCCGTGGCCCCGTCCCTTAGGCTGAGGGGACGTTTCTCTGGGCCAAGTCCGCTAGCCCCTTGTGCACGAGGAGCAGTGGGCGCTGGTTGGGATATTCTGATGGGGGGCCCCCTCTGGATCCTGGATTTTGGACCTTTTGACCCTCGCTCCTCCCCCGTTTGTTTCATTAGTGGTCCCCTGCAATCATTTAACACCTGGGTCCCGTGGCCCCGTCCCTTAGGCTGAGGGGAGGGGCCTTTAGGGGTGGAAAGGCTTCTCTACCCCCCCCCCCCCCCCCCCCACCCCCAC